CCAGTAGATAGGTCTAACATAGTACTCACTATCGATATGAGGTATGCCACGAAACATCTAAGGTGGCAAATTGCTTTAATTCCTACTACACATCTGTTGCATCAACACTAGTAAGTAAACTACCAGCTGCATCAAATACCTTTAACACAGACTCTGATAAGTTTCAAACATACTATACCAATAAAGGGGTAACCCCAAACAGTTGTCAACTAGTAAGTGTATCTCATGACTTCATTCAAAAAGAACTAAGCAGGTAAACCCAACTAAGAGCACAGGCCCTGATAACATCCCATCTAAGTTCCTAAAGATGGTGCTTTTGAACTGTCAATCCCTATTGCTCACATAATAAATCTATCAATCACCACTAATACCGTACCGGAGGGGTTCAAGGAGGCCAGAGTTACTCCTATCTTCAAGAAAAATAATAGGTCTGATGTAAGCAACTTAGACCTGTTATATACTCAGTATAATATCTAAAATTCTGGAGAGGGCGGTGTATTCTCAAGTAGTTAAGTACCTTAATGACAACAGCATTCTCCATAGCTATCAATCGGGCTTTAGAAGGATCCTACTCAACCGATACCTCCCTTATTAATCTGATGGATTACCTGAGAACTGAAATGTCAAAAGGGAACCTCATAGGTATGGTAACCTTAGACCTGCAAAAGGCCTTCGATACTGTCAACCACAATATATTATGTATAAACTTCAATCTATCGGTATAGGTTCTGTAGACTGGTTTAAGTCCTACCTAGCAACAGGAGACAAATAGTCAAATCAACAAAACGGAATCAGAACCCTGCCGATAACATGTGGAGTTCCCCAAGGTAGTATTCTGGGTCCCTTACTATTCTTATGTTATGTCAATGATATGCTATCAGTGTCAAGTGCAAACTCCTACTGTATGCAGATGACAGTGCTCTGTTAGTGACAGGTAAAGACCCACAAGATATTGCTAATGTTTTAACACTGGAACTGGAGTCCTGCAGCAAATGGTTAGTAGACAACAAACTATCATTACACCTAGGGAAAACTGAAGCCATTCTCTTTGGAACGAAACATAAACTGAGGAAGGGTAATAATTTTAATGTTCAGTGTAATGGGGAGTCCATCACTTTGGTTTCATCAGTTAAATATCTGGGAATCCCTTTGACCCATGCATGTCAGGAGAATTGATAGGGAACAGTGTAGTAAAGAAAGCGAATGCCAGGCTGAAGTTCCTGTATAGACAAGCACAGTGTCTACCTACTGAGGCTCGCAGGACCCTTGTCTAGCCCTTATACAATGCCATATGGATTACGCTTGCTCTTCTTGGTACTCTGCCTTGACAAAAAACTGAAAATAGACTGCAAATCACCCAGAACAAATCGTAAGATTCATCCTGGGGCTGGGACCAAGAGAACATGTAGGCCAGGATGAATTACAGCAGTTGGATATGCTGAATGTTGAAGACAGAGTAAAAACAACTGAAGCTAAATCATGTTTATAAAATTGCTCACAAACAGTGTCCAGAATATCTTGCTGTCAATTTTGTCAAGGTTGGGAACCGCCAGCAATCATAGTACTAGGGGGAGAGAGCACAACTTTGTAGTACCCACAGTCAGTGGCCAGGCTTCAAACACCTTTTATTGTACAGCAATAAGGAATGGAACAGACTACCCACAAATGTCAAGGCCAGTCATAGCTTGAACCAGTTCAAGAAGACTGCCAAAAAGTGTCTGATGAATGAGAGCAACAGAAAGGGAGGGGAATGATTTTCTATTTTTTAGCTAAAATACGTGTAAATTTTACTTATCCCTAGTAATGACCCTCGTATTGTAGATAGTCGTAATGACCCTCGGGTAGTAGATAGTCTTAATGACCCTCGTATTGTAGATAGTCTTAATGACCCTCGTGTAGTAGATAGTCTTTTTAGTATGATAATAAGATGTTATCTTCATTATAGAATAATAAGAAAATATTATAACCTTTATATTATAATAATAAGGTAAAAGGACCCCAATGGAAATAAGTCACTCTGTCTGACTTTTTTGGGTTATCCTAGGTTCTCTACACATATGCTGCTATGTATGATAATTCTATGTAACTGTATTGTGTATACCTGAATAAATTTACTTACTTACTTACTTACTTACTTACTAACCCGGAGGGTTAGCCACCCAGGATAACTCACAGTGCGTCATCGAGGGCTGTCTTATTTCCACTGGGGTTCTTTAATCTTCTCCCCCAGGATGTGACCCACACCAGTTGACTAACACCCAGGTACCTACTTACTGTTAGGTGTAAGGACACATGCCCGTTTCAACCCGGGCCGAGGATCGATCTAAGGATATGTAGTGAGTTGAGTGAGCTATCAACCGGGCCAGGAGACCCAAACCGAGCCACGGGACCTAAACAAAGCCACGGATGTACACGTTTGTGCAAAAGAACGTGAACAAGGGAGAAGGTATTATAACCGGCAACCACAACAGTGTCAATAAAATGTTCAGGTTAATCCACCCTACGCTTAGCAGATAAGCCTTCGAAATCTTTCCCACTAAAGGCTAGCACTCCATATGGATCGGATGAACCGCAAATGAAATAGAAATTAACAAGATTCAAAATCTATAAAAGAAATCTGACACTGAAGAGTGGGATATGATCTACAAATCGCTGTCCTCCAAAGAATTAGATTATGCTCCAAGCTCCCTGGCAGTCTTCAAGCTGGCACTGGACAAGCACCTCAAGTCGGTACCTGACCAGCCGGGCTGTGGCTCGTACGTTGGATTGCGTGCAGCCAGCAGTAACAGCCTGGTTGATCAGGCTCTGATCCACCAGGAGGCCTGGTCACAGACCGGGCCGCGGGGGCGTTGACCCCTGGAACTCTCTCCAGGTAAACTCCAGGTAACTCCAGCCTTAAATCCAAGTATGATTCTCAAAGTCAAAAATATACGATAATAATAGAGCACTTTCTTGTACAAACTACATGCATATACCAATGAACCCCTTACCCAATGGTGTTTATAATACACGGGTCTTGTACTGTACTGGTGTTTATAATACACGGGTCTTGTACTGTACTGGTGTTTATAATACACGGGTCTTGTACTGTACTGGTGTTTGTAATACACGGGTCTTGTACTGTACTGGTGTTTGTAATACACGGGTCTTGTACTGTACTGGTGTTTATAATACACGGGTCTTGTACTGTACTGGTGTTTATAATACACGGGTCTTGTACTGTACTGGTGTTTGTAATACACGGGTCTTGTACTGTACTGGTGTTTGTAATACACGGGTCTTGTACTGTACTGGTGTTATAATACACGGGTCTTGTACTGTACTGGTGTTTATAATACACGGGTCTTGTACTGTACTGGTGTTTATAATACACCTTGTACTGTACTAACACATGGTCATGCGTCAAATTTTAACACTTGTGACTATCATCCCCTAATTGCTCTAAACTCTTAAAACAACCCTTCCATATATCTTCACGAGGAAACGCTGAACTCAGGGGTCATACAACGCCTGGGGAATACTAGGTAATCAGGAAAGAGGCTCCATTTCTTTGGATCAAGAGGCCTTCACCGGTATCAAGGCGTCTCTCTATCGGTGTTTAAGCGTCTGAGATTCGAATCAGAAAAATCTCTGCCTCTCTGAAGTTTATCCCATTATCTAAAATTGTAACTTTCACACTATCATATTATAAACAAAGTCCATTTCCTGCAAATTCAGTCTCACGTTAGCATTCGAAATCATAATAAACGTGATGAGTTAGCCAGTGCATACGCTCTAAAGGTAAATTAGATTATAACTTGTGCTATTTAATACAAAAATATGAGTCGAATTGAATTTCTTAGACCTGAGGCAGATAAATTGTGACACTAGTTAATGCAATTATCAGTCATTCCATCTCGAGTCAATCCATTTATCATATTATCATAATATAAGAGAACAGCCATATGTTTATAGTTGGTAGAACAAAATCAACAGACTTTTTTTATTACTACAGACTTCGGCCAAGTTACAAATTATCTGAATTTACATCAGAACCAGATATAAGCCTAACCAAAGGTCGAGTCAGTAATAATTCTCACAATTTACATCATTACTTTCCTGGAGATTAAGAAAATCCACGAATTATTTGTTTCACGTTCAAATAATTATATTAAATTCATGGGGAGCCCTAAACCCGTAGGTGTCATACGTCTGGTGAATGAAGCAATAAGGTTCGATCCAAGGAATAGGATGAGAGTTCCAGTTCCTTGAAACAAAAGCCCTATCACAGGCATCAGGAACTCTCTCAAGAAGTTTTCAAATATTTCATCCACAATAAAAACACCCATTCCTGCGACTGCCTCTGAGACCAAAAGTGATCCAGCCCATGGAATTCATTATGCCTCATTATTAGATTCATGGGAAAGCACAGAACCTGTATGGGCCATGCAGCTTCTGGGGAATGAGATACAATCAGGTATAATTCAAAGAAGATAATACTAATTCCTTGGATCAAGAGCCCTTCCGCAACAGTGCGCACCTTCCCCCTCGAAGGGTAAAGTAAATAGGCTCGGAGGCCAAACTAATAGTCCGCTTAACATGAACCTTGTACACATGCCAAAAATAAGTGTTAAGGAGGTAGTCAAACTTAAGTCCAATATATTAAAATTATTACGACCTACAAAACCAGAAATAATTTTTTTTTGTCAGTACGACTGTTGCAGCACTAATATGATACCCCGGAATAAGCCCCTTCCTACTAGTCTCAAGTACTAGCATTAGTAATAAACTACTCTACTTATACAGCTAATTTTGTTAATGCATTAATGAACGGAAAGCAATAAAATAATTTTGGTAATGGACATCACACATCCACATACCACCTCAGAACCAACAATACACAAGTGTTGAATACACTCTACACGTGTACGTACATGAAAAATCTTGGTATGGATGGGCCTTACCCACTCCATTAACATATTGATTGCAGCATCTAGTCAATTAAAGCCTTGGTTACTTACTATAGCCTAAAGAGAAGAGTGTCCTTGATGGAACCCACCAGCCGCCGCCATTTTGTGTGCACCTCACCATGTCAGCCAAGGGCATACATTATTTAATTGAAAAAAATATTGGTAATTGTCAGGATATCGAGTACCAAACATCACTCTATAGCAACAGTAATCCCTGGCTCTCGAGTTTATAGCCCGGCCTCAGGTTTGCATTATCACTTCGATAACTGATAACTGCTGCCCCGCTGGATAGTGTTTTAAAGCCTATTATTGACCGCACATGTCTTATCATGGTGAAATTTACCTTTACCTAACATCAAGAAAACTTTAATCCTAAGTGTACGAAGATATACACGTATATATGCCCTGTGCACCTCCCCGTCCCTCCGCCAAGCAAATTTATGTAGTTTCCCAGATCGGAAGTTTTCCGTATTTTCTACATTGTCTATTAGTCCTCAATAATTTGTAAAATGCTCTTGCAAACAGGTGTTTGGTTACAAGACAGTATGATATAACGTGTTTAATTATTGACTCCACTCAAGAGCCGCGGGGGGCGGTGACCCCCCGGAAGAGAGACCACGTAACCTACAGGTATTGAGTCACAATTCCCGCACACACACACAAATAAAACCAGTAATAAACAAATTAGTCTTACCTTGCCCCAGTAACAAAAAAAGTTGTGGTATTGACACTGCTGAGTTGCCCTTATACAGCCTATTACCATAAATCATATTTATGTGGAAGCGCTAAATCCGTAAGTTTATTCAGGTATACACAAATACAGTTACATAGAAATATCATACATGGCAGCATATGTGTAGATATTTAGTTGTAGTAATAAGGAGTTGTAGCAAGTTGTAGTAACAAGTTGTAGCAAGTTGTAGTAATAAGGTGTTGTAGCAAGTTGTAGTAATAAGTTGTAGCAGGTTGTAGTAATTAGGTGTTGTAGTAAGTTGTAGCACCAAGATGTTGTCGTAAGTTGTAGTACTAAGGTGTTGTAATAAGCTATAGCACTAGGGTGTTGTTGTACTAGGTGTTGTAGTAAGTTGTTGCACTAAAGTGTTGCAATACGTTGTAGTACTAAGGTCTTGTAGCAAGTTGCAGCAATAAAGCGTTGTAGTACTAAAGTGCTGTAGTATCACTAAGGTATTGTTGTAAATTGCAATACTAATGTGTTGCAGTAAGCTGCAGTACTAATGTATTGCAGTAAGCTGCAGCACTAATGTGTTGCAGTAAGTTGCAGCACTAAGGTGTTGTAGTAAGCTGCAGCACTAAGGTGTTGTAGTAAGTTACAGCACTAAGGTGTTGCAGTAAGTTGCAGCACTAAGGTGTTGTAGTAAGTTACAGCACTAAGGTGTTGTAGTAAGTTGCAGCACTAAGGTGTTGTAGTAAGTTACAGCACTAAGGTGTTGTAGTAAGTTGCAGCACTAAGGTGTTGCAGAAGGTTGCTGCACTAAGGTGTTGTAGTAAGTTACAGCACTAAGGTGTTGTAGTAAGTTACAGCACTAAGGTGTTGTAGTAAGTTACAGCACTAAGGTGTTGCAGAAGGTTGCTGCACTAAGGTGTTGTAGTAAGCTGCAGCACTAAGGTGTTGCAGTAAGTTGCAGCACTAAGGTGTTGCAGTAAGTTACAGCACTAAGGTGTTGTAGTAAGTTGCAGCACTAAGGTGTTGCAGTAAGCTGCAGCACTAAGGTGTTGTAGTAAGTTACAGCACTAAGGTGTTGTAGTAAGTTGCAGCACTAAGGTGTTGCAGTAGGTTGGAGCACTAAGGTGTTGTAGTAAGCTGCAGCACTAAGGTGTTGTAGTAAGTTGCAGCACTAAGGTGTTGTAGTAAGTTGCAGCACTAAGGTGTTGTAGTAAGTTGCAGCACTAAGGTGTTGTAGTAAGTTGCAGCACTAAGGTGTTGCAGTAGGTTGGAGCACTAAGGTGTTGTAGTAAGTTGCAGCACTAAGGTGTTGTAGTAAGTTGCAGCACTAAGGTGTTGTAGTAAGTTGCAGCACTAAGGTGTTGCAGTAGGTTGGAGCACTAAGGTGTTGTAGTAAGTTGCAGCACTAAGGTGTTGTAGTAAGTTGCAGCACTAAGGTGTTGTAGTAAGTTGCAGCACTAAGGTGTTGTAGTAAGTTACAGCACTAAGGTGTTGCAGAAGGTTGCAGCACTAAGGTGTTGCAGTAAGTTACAGCACTAAGGTGTTGTAGTAAGTTACAGCACTAAGGTGTTGTAGTAAGTTGCAGCACTAAGGTGTTGTAGTAAGTTGCAGCACTAAGGTGTTGAAGTAGGTTGCAGCACTAAGGTGTTGTAGTAGGTTGCAGCACTAAGGTGTTGTAGTAAGTTGCAGCACTAAGGTGTTGCAGTAGGTTGCAGCACTAAGGTGTTGTAGTAAGTTGCAGCACTAAGGTGTTGCAGTAGGTTGCAGCACTAAGGTGTTGTAGTAAGTTGCAGCACTAAGGTGTTGCAGTAGGTTGCTGCACTAAGGTGTTGTAGTAAGCTGCAGCACTAAGGTGTTGCAGTAGGTTGCAGCACTAAGGTGTTGTAGTAAGTTGCAGCACTAAGGTGTTGTAGTAGGTGGCTGCACTAAGGTGTTGTAGTTTGCTGGCAACACTAAGGTGTTTGGCAGTAGGTTGCAGCACTAAGGTGTTTGTGTAAGTTGCAGCACTAAGGTGTTGCAGAAAGTTGTAGTAGCAGTATTTTCTGGGTAAGCACAGCCTAAGTTCATCGAAAACCAACCACGCATCCAGAAAATAAGTGTTCCTACATGACACTACTTATCAGAGGTCTACTATGGCTAGACAAGCAGTGATAATCACTTTTTTAGCATATGTTTGGGGGTGGGGGTTTTTTATTTTTTTTTTTCTGCGTTCCCTATTTTCCCCAGACACAATTCAGTGTATGGTAAATGCTCTATTTTTTTTTCACTTCTGGCATCCAAGCAACGATTATGATTTTAACGTAGCCTAAAGCCGTAGGGTCGTACAGCGCTTTAGGAATGGGAGGCAATCAGGTTCTGATCCTAGGAAAGGGGGATTGCTTCCTGTTTTGTTGATCAAGATGGATATGTCGGCAGCGGGCCTCCAGCAGCAAAGCTGGTTGTCCTGGCAAGCACAGATGAGCCTGGCCCATGGGCGGGATCAAATGAGGTAGAGAAACTTCGAAACTCTTCAAATGGTTCAAAGAGTCCTTCACCAGTTTCAGGTATGGAGAGTTGTTAGTTTAATGCCATAGATGCACGTAGGTTCTTATGAAATAACATGGATGATCATAAACTGTATCTAGCTATAAACCAATTTTGGTTTTAACTTTAAAACTTGGCTACATACCTTTTTTATAAAACTTCAGAGATTATAATAACCCTTAGAAGTCGTTATTTAAGTAGGGCTACACTCGTATCAGGTGGGGTTATCACGGTGGCTTACCCTCCGGTTTAAAATCCGGACAAAAGCCTATCTTAAATTTAATCAGGTTTGTTAATGGAGTAGTTTAGGTTCCCCACTTAACATCACCCCAGAATGACGGAGGTCATGGTAGCCTACACTCAAGTATTCTGACTGGCATAACTAATAATTTCTACATAAATACATCAGTTAGAATGATAACAATTCTCATACAGGCATCAACTCACAATATTCAATCACTAAACCTACTCACCATACAAAAACATCCAATACTTATTTACTGCACCTATTACTACATGAGAACACTTAACTCTGATATACTAAACCTCCCTCAAACATCTCCTGCAACCTCAACAGAACACATGACCATAACACAAGGCACAGATCACTCGTTGGTGTTTCCTCGTGTTCATTCCACACTATGCAAAAACTCAATGCACATAAAAGGCCCTAAATATCTGGAATTCATTACCTGTAAATATAAAGAAACACTACCTGTTTATAAATTCAGTCCTCTAACTCAAAGATCACTTACTCACCCAAAACCAAAATAAATACTGATAACTGAAACTTTGATTGTATATTCTTAAATGTTTCTCACAATTATAATCACATAAATGTTTAACCTAAAAACCGAATCTAACTTATTATTTTTAAAATACACTACTAAACAGAATCCAATATGAGCTGATGCAACCATTATGACCTGTCTTTGTAATACTCACTTGTGCTTTATTGTAATCTGTTTACCATTAATGTTATATCAATGACTTCATCATTGCCTTAGTTAATCTTAAGTTAATTTATGCCAGCCCGTAATGCTATGCATAGTATTAAGTGGTTTGGCATGTGCTCTTATCTGTATTTTTTTTTTGTACCTCTGTATGTGTGCTCAAATTTATAATAAATAAATAAATAAATACAACTGATGCAGATCTAGTTGATATTATTGACTATTTTTTACAGAAAAGATTTGGTTATACAGAGCATTCGCGGCAATTCGGTTAATCTTGAACCCCAGGGTGCGACCCCCACACTAGTTGGACTAACACCCAGGTACCTACTTAACGCTAGGTGAACTGGGACAAGAGGTGTAAGGAAACATGCATAACGTTGCCGGGGATCGATCCCATACCCACAGTAAGCTGAGAACGGTACCAGCCAAGCCACTAACACAAAACGGTACACTACACAATCACACAGTGTCCATGCTGCCAAAATAGCAACGACTACACGAGGTCTTAAATGTGTACTAATTAACTGTTCGTGGTTTAAAGCTGAGCGTACATTAGCAACAAGATATATTCAAATATTATCCTAGATTAGTTAAAGTCTCAAGTGTATATGAACACAAACTTTGGTGTTTAAACATACTGGTTTGTGTACTGCTTCTTGAGTTTATTACATTCAACCTAAAACATTTCATAATTAACAATTTATACATGCATTTTAAAGTGGTCTTTGAAAGAAAACACTTATATACAAAGACAAAAACATTCGTATAAATACTACACAATTTAGTAATTTCGTGGTAAGCCTGACCACAGGTTGCCCCCCCCCCCCCCCCCCCCCCCCCCCCCCCCCCCCCCCCCCCCCCCCCCCCCCCCCCCCCCCCCCCCCCCTCTAACAAGTCATCCTGTAGGCGGGGGAGTGGGCTGGGGAGGGGCTGGGCGGTAGATGAGGAGATCTGGGGGTTTTTTTTAGGGTG